GCGGGGGTCCGGGGGTGAAACCCCTACCCCGGCTTGGGCCCCAGGGATCCCCGCGTGACAACCCTGGGACCCTTGTTTGCTTGTTGTTCTTGTGTTCTTTCAAGGGCTTCGGTTGCCTCTTTGAGGAGTCTGTTCATTGTTGCTACCCATTCATTGAGAAAGGGGCAAGGGGTGGAGGGGCTGAGCTGCGAGGGAAGCAAGAAATCAGAGGGCAAGCGGGGATGGTAGCCAAGGTCGAGGTAGAAAGGGGACATGCCAGTGGAGGGGCAGACAACGTTGTTGTAGGCAATCTCGACGGCTGTGAGCAATTGATCCCAGTCATGTTGGTGTGGATGACAATACTTCCGCAGAATTCTTTGGAGAGTATCGTTCATCTTCTCGGTCTGGCCATCGGTCTGGGGGTGGAATGCAGTGCTATACTTGAACGTGGTTCCGTAGGCTTGGAAGAGGTGTTTCCATAACTGTGATAGGAAGCGAGGATCGCGGTCACTGATGATGTTCTCGGGGAGACCGTGGTGGCGAGCGACATGATCGAAGAAGAGTATGGCGATGTCTTTGGCATTGTGCGAGGTGGTACAAAGAATGAAGTGGGCGCGTTTGGTCAGACGACAAACAATGACGTAGATGCAATCATGGCCACGGTCGGTCTTAGGGAGGTCGCACACGAAGTCCATGGAGATGGACTGCCACCGGTGGGTAGGGATGGGCAGTGATTGGAGCTTGCCGGGCTTGGCCGGGTTCGAGGGATTAACGGCCTGACAGGTGGGGCACGAGCGGATGTATGCTTTGACGTCGGTGAGTAGAGAAGGCCAATGGAAGTAGCGGGAGATGGTGTCGAAGGTTTTCTGGAAACCGAGGTGGCCAGCGGTCTTGGTGTCGTGGTGCTTGGCCAAGAGCTGGGTACGAAGACCACGTGCGTCAGGGATGCAGAATCGACGAGTGCCCTTGGTGTCAATGTAGAGTAGATTGTCATGGAGAGAGTAGTCAGGGACTGAGTCAAGGTTGCGGAGTTGGTAGTAAATGGAAGCGAAGTATGGGCAAGAGAGGTAACCTTGGGTGTAGCGGCGATGTAACGAGGGAAGAAGTTGAATGTGGGTCATGGCAGCGTAGACTTTCTCAGGGGGCTTATGGTCGGGGCGGCGAGAGAGGGCATCAACAACACGGTTGCTTTTGTCGGGGGGTGTGGCAGATGGTGAAGGTGAACTGGGCAAGGAAGTCTAGCCATCGGGCTTGGCGGGGGGTGATGTCTTTCTTGGTAAGGATGGAGGAGACAACTGTGTTGTCAGTGCGGATGGTGAAGTATTGCCCGTCGAGGTATGGGCGTCAGACTTTGAGGGCGTAGACCACGGCTAGGAGTTCCTTCTCGTTGGAGGGGTAATTCATCTCCGCGGGAAGGAATTTCTTGCTAGCGAAGGCAATGGGGTGTTCGCCGGGTGGGGGCTGTGAGTGAGTAGGGGAATCTTTGACAGAGGGGATCTCGGTGGGGTCAGGAGGGAAATGTTGGGACAGGACAGCCCCAATGGCGAAGTCTGAGGCATCAGTGGTGACGAAGAAGTGGCGAGTGGGGTCAGCGATCTTGAGGACGGGGGCGGTGGTGATGATTTGCTTGGGTTTGTCGAAAGCGGCTTGGCAGCGTTCAATCCATGTGAAGGATTCGGTGGCGCGGGTGAGCTCATGGAGAGGGTAGGAGACGTCGGAGAAGTTTTGAATGAAGGGGCGGTAATAGTTGGCGAGTCCAATGAATGAGTGAAGCTGGGTCAAGGTTGGGGGAGGTGGGAACTCGACGAGGGCGGAGACCTTTTTGGGGTCCATGCGGATGCCGTCGGCCGAGATAATGTGACCAAGGTATTCTACGCTAGGGGCAGCAAATGTACACTTGTTGAGCTTGGCGTATGATGGAGAGAACTTTGCGAAGGTGTTCGAGGTGGGATTCGAAGGTGGGGCTAAAGACGAGGTTATCATCAAGGTAGATCACGACACAGACTTCGAGGAGGTCGCGAAAGATGTGATTCATGGTGGATTGGAATGTGGCGGGGGCATTGGTGAGTCCGAAGAGCATCACGAGGAATTCGTAGTGCCCGAAGCGAGAGCGAAAGGCGGTCTTGTGGGTGTCCTCCTCGCGGATGTGGATCTGGTGGAAGCCACTGCAGAGATCAATCTTGGTGAAATACTTGGCTCCACGGAGGCGATCAAGAAGCTCGGATATGCGAGGGAGTGGGTACTTGTTCTTGACCGTGATCCGATTCAGGGCACAATAGTTTGTGCACATGCGAAGTTCCGAGGTGCCGTTCTTCTTAACGAAGAGACAACTGGTTCCGAAGGGGGAGGAGCTAGGCTTAATGAATCCTTTCTCAAGGAGTTCATTAAGTTGTCGCTTCATCTCTTCGGCCTCGGGGACGGAGAGCTGGTATGGGGGGCGACAAGGAGGAGAGTGGTCGGGCTCGAGATCAATGGTGTGGGATACACCGCGATCGGGAGGTAGACCGGCGGGCAAGGACTCGGGGAAGGCATCTTTGAATTCGGAGAGGAGGGCGGTGATGGGGGGATCAGAAGGAGGATCTTGGTCGGGTTTGTCTGTTGGTCGCAAGTCCTCGGGACGCTCGCGGTCGATGACAAGGCAATAGTAAGCGCAGTCAGGGTGTTCACGAGACATGTGGAGGAATTGATGTGGGGAGACGGGGGGTGGGGTGGAAGGGGGAAGAAGGTAGGGGATGTCAACGGGACAGTCGGGAGGGTTGGTGAGGCGGACGAAGGAGGGGTGGAATGAGTAGGGCATATAGCGGTCAAGCCACGGGGTCCCTGGGACGATCTCGCACATAAGGTGCATAACATCGAAGGAGACCTGACCAGGGACTGTGCGATCGACGACGACGAATGAGTCCTTATCCCCTAGGCGGATAGTGATCGGGGAGTCATAGCCGGTGGAAGGTAAGCCGACTTTGTGGACACAGGCATTGGTGATGAAGTTGCCGGTGGCGCCAATATCAAGGAGGGCCCGAAACTTCACCGTCGATGCACCGAGGGAAACGGAAATGAACTTGAGTTGGAACTGTGCGGATCCGGCACAAGCAGAGGAGATCATAGTGTTGAGGCGGCGTTGCTCGAGGCCTAGCCTAATGAGCCGATCTCGTTCCTCAACAAGATCTGTGAAAGTGGTGGCGGATGGGTTAGGGAGGGTGGAAGAACACGTGGAAGTGGAGGGTTCATCCGACGGAATAGGGGACATCGTCGGGAGGGGGGCAGGCGGAGTAGACTGCGACGCCTGGAGATTGTCCGGTGGGATGTGCGTCACCGGAGGAGGGGTTGGCAGACGAATAGTCGATGCCAAATGAGCCATCGGTGGGACGAAGGAAGCCACCGGTGGGTGGGCCGACAGACGCGGTGTCGATGCCGGGTCGATGTCCTGGGGACTATGTTCATGATGAGGAGGGACCCGCGCTTGCCGAGGGCGGTGATGCGGAGGTTGCGGGTCGAGTGGAGGTGGACTGGCGGGTGAATTGTGCGGCATTGGGGCAGTTGGTTTGTTGGTGCCCCAATTGATGGCAACGGAAGAAACCCCNGAATTGTGCGGCATTGGGGCAGTTGGTTTGTTGGTGCCCCAATTGATGGCAACGGAAGAAACCCCCTTTTGCTTGGAGGTAGGTGCGCTCCTCGAGGGTGAGTTTCTTGAGGCGAGAGGGTGGGGTAGATGAGGGTGGTCGAGAGTTGCGGTCTCCGCGTTCCATCCTCATGAGTTGGACGACATTGAGTTCCTCGGAAGAGAGGGATGAAGAATTGAGTGAATCGAAAGATGCGTCGGGGTCCGGTGTAGTGAACTCATCCGAGGAGGTGGTGGAGGTGGTGTCCTCGGAGGCGATGTTGTGGAAGAAGCGAGGGCGGGAAGGGGCCGATGTAAGTGCGGTCTTGTAGGGGGAGAGGATGTGATCGAGTTGGAGGGTACGAGTGAGGAGGTCGGCGAGGGTCATGGGGGGCTCGTGGACAAGGGCGGTCGCTAGGTCTTTGCAGCATACGCGCTTAACGAGGGAGATGAAGGCGAAGTCGCTGACGACATCAATGGGGATATGTTGGCGAAGTGAGCGGACGCATTGCACAAAACGATCGGTTGGGCCGTTTTGTTGGAGCTGACAGAATTGGTCGATATAGTCGTCGACCGTTTTCTGTGGGCGGAAGGTGGAGGTGATGAGGGTGGCCCACTCAAGGAAGTTGTGAGGCAGGAGACCGGAGTGGTGGCGATTAGACATTTCGGTGTACCGCCGCGTTGTCCAGAAGTCGGCCGCCAGCGATGGGGAGCCAGTGGATGACGGGGATGCCGTGGAGGGAGAAGGCTTGTTGGAGTTTGGTGAGAAAGAGGAGGACATCCTCATGGGGTTGGCCCGAGAAGGTGGGGATTTTGTTGACGCGGAATGATGGGGGGATTTTGCCTTCTTTGGGGTTAATGGAGGCAAGGGTGTTGAAATCAAGGGTGGGGGTGAGGGAGTCGACCAGGGTGAAATCACTGGTGGGGTTGGTGGGGATGAGTGCATTTGGGGGAAGTAGTGGGGGAGCGCGATGCACAGCATGTGGGATAATCTAAGTGTAGTTGGGGATAGTTGAGGTGATAGTGGAGGTGGATAAGAGGGGTTTTGATTGGGGGGGGATGGTTGATGGCTGTGTGACGGCGGGGGTTGTCGCCTCGAGCGTGGTGACGCGGTCGCATATGGACGACATGTTGGCCTTTATGTCGTCGAGAGAGGCGGTGACGGAAGTTCGGAGGGTGTTGAGTGCGTGGAGGATGGCGGAGAGGTCGGGGGTGGCGGTGTTTGCTGGTGGTTGTTCGCCTGTGAGGTTGCGGGCGATGCTACCGACTGAGTCAGTGCGGATGTCAGACATGTTGATGGAGGATGCGGCCATGTCGAGGGAAGAGGGGGTGGAGGACGTGGCCTGAACGGGTGTGGAGGATGCAGCAGCAGCGGTGGCGGCGGCGGCACGTTGTGAGTTCTTGGTTTGGCGTGGTGGCATGTGGAGGTGGGGGGGGCAACTCCTATTTGTAAGAATAGAGCGTAAATTAATTTGAATTTATTTGAAAATGATCCGCGAGTGTATTTTTCAAGAAAATACGAAAGCAAAAGTTTCAGGAATTTCCAAATGAAGAAAAAGAATAATTCATTCCAAGAAAAAAAAAAATAAAAAAAATCGACGAAATTTATGCGGATTTACATTCGGGGTAAAATTTTATAATTTCAGAGTGGCCCGGGGTCACTTGCCCGGCCGGGCCAAAAACAATTAAAAAAAAAAAAAAAA